AAGCGGTCAACTCTAATATAAATGGCCGAAAGCGATAAAATGCGAATAGAAGTGACGAACGAAGCACCCACAGACACACAGTTACGGGAATACGGGAACACGGGTAAGCAGCTAGGTAGGCAGCAGCGAAGAAGTCAAGCAAGCCTGCAGGCAATACAGAATGTATATGGCCGATGGCCGAGATGGCGCTATTCAAACCAATCAGGCGTCCGTCTTCTGGCTCCAACTCCAAACACTCCGGCAACTACACAACTCAACCACAAATATGTTATTTAATAAATATGTTTGTATGTACAATTTGTTGAAAAATAAAAATATTTAATTAGCACTGCGTCTCGTGGAAATGCGTTTTTCGCTCGCGCTTTTTGCAGAAACGAAAAGTTGAAAGAAATCTTCAAGAAATATGGACGAAGTGGAGGATGAAAAATCAAATGTCAAAACGACCTGTCATTGGTATGATTACAGTGGCTGTCAAATATTTGTTTGGGATCAAAATGCACTACCGGACAGTGTTGACACACGTTCGTTTTTCTTACCAAAACTGGTAAGTTTTTTACATTTGGTAGATATTTTTAATAAATGCTATGTTATCTACATTTTTAATAAACTTCAAATTGAATAAAATTAAAAACTCGATAAAATTTTGGTTGGTTTTGGTAGAACTTTTGGTAGGTAAAATAATGTGTACCTGGCAACACTACTACCGAAATCGGTTAGTGGCCAAATTAACTCCTTTCATACAACAGTTTGACGACCTCTGTTTTTTCGCGCTAAATTGCTTCCTTTTCCGCCAAAAGTTTGACAGTTGAAAATAGAAATTGCAAACGGAGCTTCTTTCTCTGGTTGTGAAAATTTCTGCCGAATTTTAATAAAATTGAGCAAAATGGGGTCTTAAAAGAAATTTAATGTATGTATTTCTGTGTTCAAAGTGCATAGTGTGTGTATGTGCAGTGTTTTGTGTTAATCCCAGAGCATCAAGCATCAGCAATGTAAATAAAAGATAAGTAAACCTGTTGTGAAAAAATTATTTGCAAATAAGTTAATCCTGCTAGTATTTCAAAAGGTGAGGCATATCTAATTTTTTTGTGTTAAATAGTATGTGTATACACTTATGCTGCTGCGAAGATACTTACATCCTTACATGCGAAGATACATACTTACATAAGTACCTATGCACGTACATACGGAAATTTTAAAGATAAAGGTATGTGAATTATTATTGTAATATGAAATACTACCTAGAAGTCCGGTGCCCATATCATACTTTAATATACATACATATGATTATTTAAATGAATGAATATGAAATATTCGTCTATTATTGCTTGCAGTCTTTTTATCGCAATAGGTACATATCGTTACTTTAATTCAGAAAGGCCCTAAGCAACACTTTTCGAAACTGCGCTTTTCCCAGCTTTTGGTAAAATGTATTAAAATACACCTTCAATGAAAATTTTGAAGTGTTAGTACCAAAAACCGCGGACTTAC